TCCTAAGTTTGGTCTATTTTTTAGGTGGGCCCCGAGCTTCGATTTACTCGCTTCAAAGTGGTAACGCGTTCTATGTCGCGTTGTGATTCACGTGGTATATTTGGTTGCTTAAAACCATTACCGAGTGAATGGGAAATTGAAGCCAAAGTGTGCTCTATGGAAATGGAGTTTTGGTGGAAATTCCTTAAGGTTGTAAAATGGCTTGTCCCACATTGATTTGGTGGGAAGTTTTGAAAGGGTTTATAAGGCATGGGTTTGGTACTTGGGGTGTGCCCTAAGGGGTACCCAAGTGTTTTAGAGGGAGAGGTTATGGGCTAGACCCATTAGACCCAAATATGACCACACACGCGCGCGTCGCTGTCCGGTCGGGCGGGCTGGGCTTGGGCACGGGTGCGTGGTGTGTGGTTGGATTGGGCTTGTTCGGCCCAATACTAATCTTTTTGGGCCAAAAACATTTGAATTTAATTTTATTTTTGGTAAAATAAAATTCAGAATTCAAATTAAACTGATTTGGATTTTCTGTACATCTAAACAGGGCCCTTCCCGTTTTCAAACAGAAATAAATTAGTTTGGAATTAGTGCACACCCAAACAGGGTCCTTCCCGTTTTTTGCTATCTGTTTGAATTATTAACAGATTCAAATCTGTTTGAATTCAAAACCAACAGGTATCATACCTGTTCAATTTAAAACCAAGAGCCACATTTACATCTATAAATAGGACCACCCTCATTTGATGTTATTCATTCAGAAATTTCGTATTTCACCTCTGCTTATTCTATTCTTCATTTTGTTGCATTTTATTTATGAAACAAAGAGTGTAAACACTTAGTGTGTTCGTAAGACAAACAATTTGTAGTGCTGCTATTGTTTGTGGTAGATCATTTCATCCTGGGAGATAGACGTCCAAATTCTGAAAGTACCGTGGAGAGGACGAATCTGTCTTAAGGACACAGTGTTAAACACTGGACTTGATCAGATAGTTATTCAAAAGAAATTAACCAAGTAAGTTGTTTAATTTTTATTCCGATTTTAATTTTGTTTATTTAATCAGATTTTAATTTTGTTTTTGTAACAAAATAAAATCTGTTTTTATTTATTCATTTTTATTTCGAGTTTGATTTTTGTAATCAAACAAATTCTCTCATTTTCTTTATTTCTTTATATTCTTGTTGTTGTTTTATACACAACAGAATTTAATCTATTTAAATACAGTGAAGATAGTCATACACATTTTACTTGCATCTAATGATTTGGGATTGTTGCATGATACTAAACCATTTCTTTTTCAAAATTTTGAAATGAAGGATATAGGTGAAACTTCTTATGTCATTGGCATAGAAATTCACAGAAATAGGTCCAAAAGGACATTAGGATTGTCTCATAAAGCCTACATTTAAAAAATTTTGGAGAAATTCAAGATGAGTGATTGCACTCCTAATGCAACGCCTATTTTAAAAGGTGACAAATTCAGTTTAAGTCAATGTCCAAAGAATGAGTTGGAAAAGGAACAAATGGTGAGCATTCCCTAAGCATCTGTCGTAGGCAGTTTAATACATGCTCTGGTTTGTGCACGACCTGACATTGCATTTACAGTTAGGATGCTTGAGTTGGAAAAGGAACAAATGGTGAGCATTCCCTAAGCATCTGTCGTAGGCAGTTTAATACATGCTCTGGTTTGTACACGACCTGACATTGCATTTACAGTTAGGATGCTTGGAAGATACCAAAGCAATCTAGAAATGGAACATTGGAAGGCTGCAAAGAAAATCATGAAGTACTTAAAAGGAACCACTACTACAAAAACAGTTAAAGAACACACTTTGACAAATGAAAATATCTCACTTTTATTGAAAGTGTGATAAAAAATTAGATTAATATTTTAATCACACTTGATTTGATTAAGTATGATAATATTTATTTTTTATATCACTTTTTAATTATGATTATTTATATATTTTTTAATCACACTTTCTAATTAATATGGGATTATATTTATTTTTTATATTACTTTTCAATTAAGTATCATTATATCTTTTTTAGATTAGCATCGTTTGGCCTCCTTCTCATATCCCTAATCACTATCCCTCCCATCAACTGACCATTGCCCATCGCTCATCGTCCCTCTCATCAACAGTGAGCACCGTCCCTCCCTATGTCTCACCGTCTTATCGACACAGTCGGTACATCGTCTCGCCTCCCATCGATTTTGATTCAGGGGTCTCTCTCTCTCTCTCTCTCTCTAGGCTACACTGTTGTTCCTTCGGTTCTCTGTGATAGAATTAACATTCTTATCTAAATCATCACTCAGATTTGTAGGATCATCTATACTACTCGTGGGATACCTTTCCCCACTGTCAAATCTATTCAGGGTGGAACCAGAGGATATACAATTATTATCAAATAGATAAGACCCATTTCTAACTGGAGGACTTCGAGGAGTAAGATTCTTACTTGCTGAACCATTTGAATTTCCTGCTTCCATAAGCCTCGAGTCAGGGTTTGAAACAATGATTTCACTTCTCTGAAGTGCCTCATTATAATTCTCTCTTGGAGCACACAATGTTTCCAATCTTCTCTGTTGATAATTAATGTAAGTAGGAGGTGAGATCTTATTTCTTAAAAATATGGACATCTCTTTTCTAGAGAAAACATTGGAAGGAGGTAGCTGAGACTTGAGGGGATTGACATCATCATTGTTAGCTGATGTCATTGATGTGGTGTCTTGGTGAGAGACAACTCCAAAATAGGCACCAGTAAAGTTATGATGTTCGTTTTCTGCAGCTGGAGAGTCATGACTGAGAATATCACTAGTGGAATTATTAATCATATCATTTTTTTCCGGAAGCAATCCATTTTCATCACCAAAGCATGAACCTTTTAAGTTTGAGGTGCTCAATTCTTCCATTGTTCCTCCATCTTGTGATGGGATGTCACTTTGAGTAGTTGTGTACTGGGAGACAAACTGTGATGCATATTGCACCATTAACTGCCTCCATCTAGAGGCCATGGCAGAAGTTCTCCAAACTCCTTCCTTACTATGGAGATATATGGGCTTTTTGCTCAAATTTGACACTAAAGCTGCAAACTTCTCAACTTGCTCCATTGAAGGAGCAGTCCTGACTTCAACAGGAAGTTTGACCAGTTCAACTTTTCCAGACAAAATAGCTTCATCTAATACTGTTTCGTAGAATTTATCCATTACAGTCTCTGCTCTGAGATCTACAATGGTTTTAAATCCATTTTCCATCAGCCACTTCAGACCTTCTTCAGTTACCTGGCTACCCCTCCAAAAAGCAACCTCAGAATCTAAGGATTCTATATCTTCTTTTGATGTGGATAAATAAACACGATTCCAGTTTGCAAACAGTGCATGGCAGGGATCACCATCCCCACGGGAAAAGCCAGAATCAAAACAAACATTCTTCAATCTTTGTAATCTCCTCCATACATTTAAGCTTCGATCATCATCCTGCATTAAATAGTTTTCAAGAGCCACATGTAAGCTCTCACAGTACCTTTTCATCTCACCCCTGAAAACGGCAAGTGGTGGAAGCTTATCCTCCATTACGTTTACGTCTGCAACACGAGATGAACTCAAGACGGAGGATCTTCCAGAAAGAACATCCTCCTTTCCTTTGTTAAGGAGACATACCATGCAACCAAGAACAGACACTATTTTATCTTCCAATAATGGTTTATCCTCCGACCGGAAATTATAGGAAACACTGTATTCTCCTGTCAATGGATTGCACAACGTGTCCATTAGGGCATTATGTAGCTGTTCAGCAGCTCTAAAGATTCTACAGAAAGCCTCAACTTCTGCGATATCCCCAGGAACTGGACCAATCCAGGGCAACTGTGATAAATCATGGGACTGGAAGGTCTTCAATGGCAAATAAAATGGCATCAGTACATGATATGACATTTGTCCTAAAGTCATCAAGTTTGTCATCTTTTTTCATATGAAAGCAGCTGATTAATTATTAAACAGGGCAATATAATGGCTTATTCTACAATAGTAGGCATAAGAAAGAAATACTATGCTGCATTAAAAACACATAAAATGGCAGACGACAGCATTAAATGGCAGAGAAGCAGCAACGCAAAAGTAAAGCTACACAAAGATGAGTTCAAAGAGAAACTTGAAGAACATGCTCTTGGCTAAGTGAAGTATTAAGAGCAGCGTGTAGTTGATTCATCTGCTCACCATAAAGAAACTTCAGGTGTAAGTAGGATTATGAGAATTTTTATTATTCCAAATACAAAATCAGTGTAAAGAAGCCCAATTGCTGCAAAGGAAACAAGGGTAGACTAGGACTGTAAAGAAGCTAAGCCAAAGTATTAAGCTGCCAAAAGTTGACTTGAATCTTGATAAATTAACAAGCTCACTTACTAAGCTAGAGCTCGTGTTGATTATTTCAGAAAATGTCTTGAATGAGCTTCTAATCCAAGCTTGAGTATAGCATTCATGAGCTTAACCCAAGCTTGACTCAAAACTTAACTAGCTGCAGAATAATATTGAGCATTTGAGCTTGGCCTGTGCACCACATGAGCAATCTCCACAAGCCACTAATCAAGTCCAGCCCAAGTATCTTGTCTCATTTCGACATTACAGCCCTATGTAAGGGCAACAAGTGAACATCAAACTTATGTGAAACAAGATTCGTCTTTTGACTGCAGCCAAAGCAATGACACTGAATCTTGTGGTCATTGAGAATTCAACAGGCAACGTAAAAATGGAGCTCCAACAATTAAACATCAATTCTCTCTCTCTCTCTCTCTCTTTTTTCTTTTTCTTTTTTTTTTAAGAAAAGACAAGAAAAAAAAAAACATCCATCAGTAAATGTTGGCAAGAACTGTCTTTTTATCAGCAAATGTTGGCAAGAACTTGAGCATAGCTCAAGTGGTTGTACTCTAGATTTCTACAGAGGTTGGGTTGGGGCATCGAGCTTATGAAGAAGCTCGAATGTCGGGCTGTGCTAACCTAATTTACTAACTCTCTAACAGATGATGCTACCCAGTGTTGGCAACTAATTTGTTTAAAATAAATTAAAGTGGTCCCTTAACTCACTCAAAAAAAGATCTTCAATCTCATAGAGATGTACGAGTGATTAACAATGATTATATGAATGCATCAAGTCTCAGCATTGCTGTCCCCAGTTAATAGAACAGTTTTCAAACTTGATTCAATTTGACCTAAGATAACCCTATTCATAAAACCCATCATTAGTTATTCTCAATTCTTTAACACAATTCCAAAACAACATTCAAAACTCAAAAACTAAATCAAACCCATTTCTCAAAATCAAACACACAGCGCTCATCTTCAAATTAATTAATCTTCATGGTCATTTCATCAAACACCATGTCCACAACTCAACGTATACACATTTATTACCTGAGAATCCATTATTATAAGGGTAGGACTTGGGAGTTGGGAGAATTTAATAAATGCTAAGATTTTTTTTTTTAAATTAAAAAATCAGAAAATTTAAATTGAGAGATTGGAGCTCTCACAAGATTTGGGGTTGAAAACCCCATTTTACTTAATATATAATAAGTATAGATATACCAGACGGGTTGAATACCCCCACAACTATATATTCTTAATTTTTAATGAAGTTTTAATTTACCAAAAATAAAATAATAAATAAATAAAATCATATGAGAGTCTCATGTAATTATGTTAAATTTATAATATTATTTTATTTTGTTTATCATACTTGTCTTTACTAAGAAAAATAGAAGAAAAGTTAAAAAAAAAAAGGGCAAATTACATATACACCCCTCCAGGTTTGACAAAATTACAGATACCCCCCTGAGGTTTGAGAAATTACGAATTCCCCCCTGAATGCTATATTTGCATAAGAAATTAGGGGGTAATTTGTTATGAAATATAAACCTCAGGGGGTAAATTGTTATGAAAATACAAACCTCAGGGGGCGGGATGTAATTTTCGAAACCTCAGGGGTATCTGTAATTTAACCAAACCTTGAGGGGTGTATATGTAATTTGCCCTTTTTTTTTAGTCACAAAAGATCAAATAAATTATTTTATTCATAATAAACAAAATATCACATCTAACTCATAATTATTACACTCTTCTCTCATAAAAAAGACCAAAAAGTTAAAAAAAATTTCTCAAACCAAACTTTTTAACCCAAACTAAAATAACTAAAAAAATCAAAAAAATTAAAAAGTCAATCCATTTTCCAAACAACACTTACATGTTTTTTTTCATGATATAGATAGATAGGTAAGTCATGTGAATTGGATTTTTGGAGGATGATAGATAGGGGGGGTAAGCTACACTTGCCCCTCTAAAGTTTTACTCTTTTTCTATTTTGATCATATAAGTTTAATTCTTTTTTATTTTAATCCTTTATACTTGAAATCATTCCCACGTTGATCCTTTAAATTTAATTTTTTCTACTTTGACTTTTTACATTTGTAATCTATCCTACTTTGGTCCTTCATATTTGTAATTATTCCTACTTTATTTCTAGACTAACTTCAATCTAAAAAACTAATAGAATCTACCACATCACTAACACACCAGCTCCATATATGATGCAAAAAATTCACTAAAAATACAGAAAACAAAAAAATTAGAATTTTTTTTTAGTCATTAGTGAACTTTTTTTTCAAATTTATTCATAAACATTGTTATATTGTAGATGCATCTAGATTAGATGCAACTAAAAAAATAAAAACAAATTTAACTAAAAAAAAATTACTAAAGATGAAAAATGAAAATATACTGACTCAAACATTTGTATTGTCAATTCTAAAATGAAAAATTTACTATCATTTTTCTTCTTCTTTTTTTTGGCTTTAGTGAACTTTTTTCTTTTTTTTAGTTAAATTTGTTTTTATTTTTTTAGTTGCATCTAATCTAGATGCATCTATAATGTAATAATGTTTATGAATAAATTTGAAAAAAAAAAGTTCACTAAAGACTAAAAAAATCCAATCTTTTTGTTTTTTATTTTTTATTTTTTCCATCTTTAGTGAATTTTGTACATCACATATGGATCTGATGTGTTAGTGATATGACAAATTTTGTTACTTTTTTGGATGAAAGTTAGTTTAGGAGTAAAGTAGGAAAGATTGCAAACATGAATGACCAAAGTGAGAAGGATTATAGACATGAATGGCCAAATTAGGAAAAATCAAACTTAAAGAGCCAAAGTGAAAATGATTACAAAGATGAAGGACAAAAGTGGGAAAGATTGTAAACATAAAAGGCTAAAGTGGAAAAAATCAAACTTAAAGGGCTAAAGTAGGAAATTGGTGAAACTTTAGGGGGGGCAAAGTGTAATTTACCCATAGGGAAAGTACATAATTAGAAAAATGCGAGAATCTCAAATATTTTACTAAGGTTGTGTTTCGTTAGGGGATTTGGGGAGAAATTTAGAAAGAGAAAGAAAAAAAAATGTGTAAAACTAGGTAAAATTTAAGTATATTTTATTCACATTTCACCTATTTTTTTCATTTTCCTTTCCAAATCCTTCCTCAAATATCTCAACCAAACACATCATAAATGTTTTACATTTATATGAGTGTGGGATTCAGATAGTGTGGGTCATATATGGGTCCCACACCAATGTGAGATATTTAGTAAAATATTTGGCACTCTCCCGTCTTAAAATAATAGTCTTTTTTGGAGAATCAATTTTTTTTAGGGTTGCTATTTTCCCCTACCTTATCTCTTTGATCCCTCACCCACTTAATTAAGTTTCTTCCATTTTCTCTTCAAACCCTCACCATAATCCCAATTATACCCCTCTTCTTTAAACCTCCAACTTATCACATTTGGCCACCGCCGTTGTCACAACCCAAACCCATCCATATAGGTTTAGCGTCGTAACCGGCCAGTAGTTTTGGGATTAACAAAGGCCTCTGAACGGATCATTACATAATAAGGGTCTGCGGAAACAAATATATAAAACATACATAGTCCATAGAACTATGCAGACATACATGAGACAAAAATTTTAAACTTTATATACATAAACATGACGTCATATGAGCAATAGTCTTACGTCAATTCACTTACAGATAACCAAAATGGAACTTAGCCCAATATACAAATAAAACAAAGAAAACTTAAACGGGATTCTAGATCACAAAACATTGACCACAAGCAGGTTTCGGAACCTCCGCGAGAGGCACTATGGTTGGCTAGACAAAACTGACCTCTAGGCAATAACTTAAGTCTGGTCACGCGCTTGATCACCTACATATATAAATAATATGATAAGCTAAAGTCCAGTGAACAATAACAAAGTAAAGGTTTTAATAAATGATGTCTATAACAGATTCAGAATTTAGATTCATATTCAGAAACAGATACATATTTATATTCATATTCATGTTCAAAGTTCATACATGACATGATCATATGCGGTACATCCATTAGCATTAACAAATCAGATGACCCATAAAGGGACGGCCATAAAGGCATTCCGATGACTCATGTACACAGAGACGTTTCCGATAACCCATAAAGGGATGGCCATAAAGACATTTCAATGACCCATAAAGAGACGCATATCATATGATGTTAAAGATCCCACGACTACATTTCAGAAACTTGGACAATCATTCATTCATATAAAATATAGCATTTCAGAAAACTGATCATTTCAAATCATCAGAAAATAATAAGTTAAACATAACTTATCATCATAAAATAATAAGTTAAACATAACTTTACAGAGTCATTACTCACAGATGGCTCCAATAGCAGATCAGACGAATCAAACAAACCAAACCGCTAAGGCACGTGACCTATACAAATATATAGCTCATACACATTGAAATACACATTCAGAAAACACTAAACTCATTTCTTTTCTATCTTAGTGTGTTTCTAACTCTTATCCTCATTATTATGTCTTAATTAAGGCTTAGGAATGCCTAAGATGCAATGAGGACACCAAAATATGAGTTGTAACACTTAGTCAAATTTCTAAAAATAGGGTCTTCACTCGAGCGCAACTTGGGTCGCTTGAGCGGACTACAAAATTCTGTCAAACTTCTGCGAGCTCTTATTTTACGCTCGAGCACAATTTTCTACGCTCGAGCGGAGGATTAAAAATAAGGGTGGTCGCTCGAGCACAAGTTCTGTCGCTCGAGCCACGACCTATGTCTACAAAAGTACTGGGAGC